ATCCTGGGACATTTCACCAATTGCTTGGATAGTAATTTACATTAGAGATAACGTGTGTCACTCTTTGAAAGTAAAGGAGTTGTGGTCTGACACTAAAGAATGCCTGAACCAAACCTGGAGATGAATCAAACAACTGTGCAGCCAGCTTTGTTCTTGATCTATGCCCATTGCACGTTCAGTGCTTCTCTATCGAGAAGGCTCAGGTGGCAGTTTGGGTGAGGGCATCTAATGGGCGGTAGCTCTCCCAGGTGAGCCATTCCCCAAGGCAACCACAACCCATCTTCCCTGGGTCTGCCTCCATGAGGATGAATCTTGCCTGGGATGTGTGATGGTGTAATCAATACTTCATTCAAAATTTGGAAATTTTGTGTGTGAAGCAAAGAGCTACCACGATGAACAAAGATATGACTTTGTCTAGCCATTTCAGCATAGACAGGATTCCATCAATATCAAGAAGGAGTTGTACAACATTCCTCAACTACTGTTAACTGACATGGGCCGAAAGCCTATGATCTTGTACTTGCTTGGAACAGACATGCATTTATCACCTAGTGTTAGCCATGAATATTCTCTCTAGTCTTTCTGCAAGTCAGCTTTCCCAAAGAGCTAATAAATGAACATCTCCCCTTATACATTGGGAGAATGCAAACTGATAATAGAAATAATTTAATTTTGAGGAGGTATCAGAGAGTTCTCTGAAGAAACTAGTCTCAGAAAACCAACCTGAACTTGAGATATGACAACCTCCTATTACATGTCACAAACCACTTTGGTGAAGGCTTTGTTTTGAATTTAAAATTAAGTAAATCCACGTATGCATCTTTTTCACCAGTAATATTTTGTTAAGCTTCTACTGTGTACCAGGCAATGTGCCAGAGACCTGGGATACAGAGAAAAGTGAAGGACAATTTCTAACCCCACCTGAGACCCAGTCTAGAGCATTGTCTGCAGAAAGGCAGAGCAGAATCTTCCACTCTAGCCAGTGCACTTAGAGAGCCTACACTTGGGGCACATATTAGTTACTTTTTAGGCTGGGAAAATCCCCTCAAAGAGAATAACAATCTCTTTAACTCAGCGGAATACAAAACAGCGCTTTGAGAAACACTGGCTGGGCAAAGAAGAGAATAATTTACAACAAATCAAGGGCATTCATTAGGGGAAATAAGATGCAATATGCCTCTAGTACTTTCTCTTGCCACCTGGGATATAACAAGAGTCCGGCAGCATCCAGCCATTGAGTCTTGAGGCTAAGAAAATCCAAAAGCCAGAGTAACCTCTTAGTTGGCACATTCTGATTACTCGTTGCTTTGAGCACTGAAGTCACAGTGATATTCCTGACAGGCATGAACATGTAAGGACACTATTCAGGATGCTGAGGTCAGAAACCAGGTGACTGCTTCCCAGTTCTGCATTTGTCTTCAGATCAAGTTTGTGGGAATTCTGCTCATCTTTGGAACACATGTAATGATGACATTATTTGAGGGTCATGATTCCACATACTTCTATGAGATTTATTTCTGCATTTGGTGACAGCAAATTTCCTTTCATCAGTCACTTTGATTCCTTTTTAGAAGGTGGGAGTACAAACCAAGAGATAAACATCAAAAATGTTATTTTATCTTCTCTTGGGTCATCTGGTTTAAATAGCCAATGTAGAGTATCTCCTCTTCTGCCAAGTTATCAATAGGCTCAAATTATGTTATCTCATAGTTAAGGAAAATTTTTAAAAATTATTTTATACATATATATATATAAATTTAACAGGATTTTAAGAAAACATTACTAGCAGACTGGGCCCCCAGAGCCTACTATATTATATACAGAAATATTCTGAGAGAAGGAGCATTTTTTACTTTTACTTCTTTTTTCAACCAGCTTAACTAATTGATGTCTGTCCTGGATACAATTTGAGGAAGAAAAAAAAGAAATTAGTAGAATGGAAAATTTTTAGTCAGCCATACATTTAAGTTAGCCCTGTCATTAGCTTTTCATGGCATCAGGAATCAGCTTTAGTGAAGAATGACTTTTAAGAGGAGGATGGTTTCTACTGGAATCTGATTTGGCTCAGCTAATCAGCTACTGCTCCTCTAGAGTTTTCTATTCTGGTTCAAGCACCCAGAAACCTGAGACTCATGCGGGCCTTCATCTTCGTAACTCTGTCACATGGTTGCATCCTATACCTTGTTCATGTCAGCGCATTCCTATCTCCGTGGAGTATTAAAACCACCTCTGAACACAAAGTTTCCGGCCTTGTTTGTCTCCAGTCCACTTTCCACATTACTACCAGAAAAGCAAATCAACTTACATTAACCATACTTCACCCCTTTTTTTAAAAGAATCCAGCTATACTTCCTAATTGCCTACAGAATGAAGATCATGGCACCTACTTTTGTTTACCACTGTATCCCCAGTGTCTACCTCAGCACCTGTCACAGAAAAGTGCTCAGAAGCATCTGTTGAATGCCTTAAGGACCTCCTTGACCAGGCTCTTGCCCACCCCTCCGGTCATAACTGAGGCTTCCCTCAAGCCATCTTGATCTCCAACTAGCTCTCGAACTCGTCTTGCTCTTTCTTGCCTTCATGCTTTTGCACCAGACATTCTTCTGGCTTAGAATGTTGTACCTGCTAGGGCTCACATCCTACTTTTTCTCACCAGCTCCATGTGGTAAACCCGGTTTCATCACCCACCAAGAGAATACTGCTGCAGTCCTCTCTCAACGCAGCCCCTGACCTATGATCAGTCCACAAAGTCCTCGTTTTACTCCAGGATCAGAGAGTCTGAAGGCTGAGCTGGGATCAGAATGTAAAGGTTTTCAGATTTGGGGCGGGGTGTAGGAGGTGTGTGTGCAGAGCTCATGAGGGTTTGAGACAGCAGGTATCAAATCTGGACTTGGGCTCAGCTTTCAAGGGTGGCGCTGCTATGATTTCATTCCCATTACAGGCAAAACAGGTGATTGGGGACTGGCATGGGTACCCAAAGGTTAATTATCCACACACCTCAATAAAGCTGCCCAAAAAAGATTATTTATTATTGTTTTTCTGGGGGGATATAGTTTCCATTTGCAAATTGGAAACTACCTGAACGTTATTGCCAGTTACCATCTTCTTGCTTCTTTAAAAACAAACTCTTGAGAAAAAAAAATAAACTTTGGCCAAAACTCTATTTACCTCTGATATGAAATCCATGCTTTCTTTTTTTTTGCTTAAACAACAAACAGGCAGAATTTTAAGGGACACTAAGTTAGTTATTCAGTGGTCCCCAGACTCCTGACACAGTCAACACATTCAGATAAGAGAGTGTGTGGTTGAGGTTCTGGGAAATACATGGCCCAATGGTTCAGGATGATAATTTGTGAGGTTCAAAGATTGAAAGCACTTTAGAACCACCACTCCAGCCCCTACTTCCTTAGTATTGGCAGAGAACCTAATAATTTTGAAAAATGATGAAGGAAGATAAACGTGAGGAAAACAAAACATGGCCCATGGTTAATGTCTACATCTTCAAATGTAATGCAGTTATTCAACTAATTTAAAATACCACTGAAGTGAGATGACTCTCTTTAAATATTTTATCACTAAGATGCTGTGAGATTCCTTACACATATATTACCACTCTTTCCATTTAATCACTGATCAAATGTGCTCATTGAAAAGACTAAGATCTTGCCATACACCAGAATGATTTGTGAGATTAGAGCAAGCAGGCCTGTGCTATCTTCCTCTTGATTTTCTAAAAACTGTTCATGGGTAAAAGATGTTGACTCACTTGAATAGAACTTTCCTATTTATAGTGGTTAATACAGAAACCACACGGGATCCAGTCCTGGCACTGTAAACCTTTGAACACTACATCTATGAAATTCTGTTGTCTTTTCAAATTTTCAGTAACATTTCTCTTTGCTATATTTATCACATTTTCCAAAATATGAAAACGTTCTTCTTATTTTAAGTGTTGACTACATGTGAAAAATTAACTCTGGTCCTATTACTTCAAACTATCCCTTTATTAGCAACAGTTGTGCAACGCTGTCAAGAGGAATTTTAAAGCGAAAGTACCAAATCTGGAGAGTAGACACATCTGTTTTACTTTGTAGTTTGTTTCATTGTTTTATTTCTTAGGCTATGAGTTCACAACTATCTTATAACTGAAGACTAAAGAAAAAACATATGTTGGTAAATCTGATTTCTGCATTTTTTTTTCATTCAGGGGAAGTTGCCTCCCTCAGCTGTCTGCCAATAAGTAATAAATGGACTTGGCAAAAAGTTTATTTAAGTTGGCTTTATTAAGCCAAGAAAATACAGAAATCAAGTATGGGACAGGCAGAAAAATCTGTTCCTTTGAAGTCAATAAAAATCCATCTCCTTAATCCTTTTTTTATTCCAAGCAGTGGTGATTTTTCTCAACTGACTCACTGAGAACCTTGATTTAGCCAATCTGTCTTGCTTAGTTATCTTTCTTCTCCAAAGCTTTCCTAAAGAAGCATCCTTTCCCCTTGACAACCATCATCTTATATACTTGAATAGTGATGCATCTAGTTATAAACATTCTCTGGTTAATCCTGATCGAGATTTAAGAAACAGGTTTTTAATTACTACACATATTTTACAATAAAAACAGCAGTAGCTTGCAAGCTCTAACAAAAGGCACACAGAAATGATCAACAGCGGAAGGATGGCTACAATTTGATACCATACGTCTTTCCTAAGCCATCTCCATTCGGCTTTCTATGGCTGCTGCCTACTCATCATGTCCATTACGGGAGAAACTTTAGGACTCCCATCTAATAACTCCTTTTCCATGCCCCAACCCATCTACTCACAGGCGCTGAGTCATGCAGAAATATATACATAAGAATGTATTCACGTTTGACGACTTAGGGATTTGAAAAGGAGGGCATTATCTCCGTAGAACAAAAGCATGCACTGACTTCGCGACACTCAGAGTTCGGCATCATCTAATAACATCTGGTTGTACAGAGTATGAGAAAAGGATTCCTTACCTAAACTAAAGAGCACCAAGAATTTCAGACACACAAACTCTCGTTGATCAAACTGTAGAGAGCGAAGCTTTACCACTAACTCCTGTGCATGACTCATGAGATTGTTGAGGGTGGCCCCGGCTTGGGACGCTATTATGGAATAATCCACCTGCAACACAGAATCAGTTGTAATGACTGTCAGAATCAGAAACAACAACAAAAAAGAATCAGAAACAAATATTTTATTTGCAACTTTTAGAAATTGTGGGTAAAATCAGATTGCACTAGAGATTTGTAACAGAGGGGACATTCCCCATGAAAATGGTTTGAGACATGCTATGATTCTGAGATGCATCATAATTATGCTGATAAATCTAATCATTTTGATAAGCTTTGTAGGGAACAGATTTTGGCTACCTAATTCCACAGGTATATACCTTCATCTTTTTTCTATTGTGAAATTACATTATCACATAAGGTTAAAATTTTTAACTCTCACAGATCAGTTTAAAGAAAACTATACTGGGCGCCTGGGTGGCTCAGTTGGTTAAGCGACTGCCTTCGGCTCAGGTCATGATCCTGGAGTCCCTGGATCGAGTCCCGCATCGGGCTCCCTGCTTGGCAGGGAGCCTGCTTCTGCCTCTGACCCTCCCCCCTCTCATGTGCTCTCTCTCATTCTCTCTCTCTCAAATAAATAAATAAAATCTTTAAAATAAATAAATAAATAAACTATACTATCAAAAAAAAAATTGAATCCAGAACAGCATTCTACGTGCGCACAATGACATTAGTGCATGAGGAAAGTGAAGGCAGAGGTATGTTTCCATTTTTATTTTATTAAGGGACTATGTTTTAAAGCAGTCATTGTCCAAGAATGCATGCTTGTGGATGATGAAAGAATCGCATTTAGATTATTCTTTAGCGGGTTGCTTCCTAAAAAGCAACAACTACTATTTTCATTCATATGATTATTAATACATTTCTCTCTAAAGACAGCAATGATCTTATTAAGAGGAATAATTTCTTGATATGGAAAACATAACAAAAAGGGCTTATTTTCTTCTTCATTAAAAAAAAACGTGCTGCAATGCACCAATCTTATTCAGGGGGACATAAAAAGTGCAGCTTATAATAATAAGTTAAGTTGTTGGGATGGCTGTCAATGATGGTACTGGCTTTGCTGCTGAATTATAGCGTAATGGGAAAGCCCCGTTGGTACCTGATGCTCCCATCCTTTTTGTACCGGAGAGCTTTCAGGCAACCAGATACTCTTTCAGGTGCATTTAATATTTGCAGCCGCAGCAAATTTGTCTGGGAGGCAAGTCCTCATCTGCCACTCACCCGGAGCAGACTGTATTAAATTTTTATATTTATTGACATTTCATTACCATAATTGACTGCACTTGCTTCTCCAGGAGAAGGCACAGGGCTGCCTCCTAAGCAGGAGAACTAGTCCCTAGAGTAGAATTTGCAATTAAAAACAAGGCAGAAAGGATTTTTTTTTATTGTGTAAATATGATGAGTTGAATTTTCAGCTTTAACTAGAGAATACTGGGTATACAGAAACCTTTTTTCAAGAGTGAGAAAAATTAGGAGTGAGTGGAAGGATGACGCCCAAATGTGTCAATCAGTTTATATAGAGTCAACTATGCATGAAAAAGGCACAGTTAATGTGTGTTCTAGGTCTGCTCTTGTATCAAGCACAGCACTGTCCTCCCTGCTTTGTCCATGTGCTGGCTTCTGTCCACTAAATTTAAACATTAAGTGTTCTAGGAACTCCTTTGGTTTCTGTTTCAGAATGTGTGAAAGAAAGGGCCGGGACCCAGGCAACCAGAATCCTGAGCGGGAAGCAGAGAGGACAAGCAGATGAACACTGTGGACCCCATTATGATGATCTGCCTAGCCCCCAAAGGGATGTCTCAGCTTTCACTTTGCCAGTTCTCTTACAAGAGATCTTTCTACTCCAGGGAAGTTCTTCTTACTTAAAAGTGGTGCCTGAGCTCTCAATTCTTTAGCAACTATACATGGTCTCACTACTCCCAGGTAATAATAGAAATCCTACAGGGACAAATAGGATAGGTGAGTGAATGACAGCAGGAAGGCCCCATGGGGTCACAGAGGTGGAAGAAAACTGGGACAACACAGGAGATCTGGGCCAACACGGCCATTTACAAACGAAGCATCTTGGACAAGTCATATGGAGTCTCCATCCCTTGGTTTCCTGATCTTTAAATAAAGCAGTTAAGCTAGAGGATAATAAGGTGCCTCCCATTTCTGTGATTATCAGTAAATGAGAGTACTTGGGTTAACACTACCAATTTAAGCTTGGAATCAGCTGTTGAACGCACTGCAGCCGGAGCTTAGTATATACATAGCACATTTTAATCAAAATCATAAGTGAAGCCTTCAAAAAGGAAAGTGCACTACAATAAACCACAAATATGTTGGTACTAATTAATTTTTCATAGTGTAAAGTTAACTAAGTTTTGATATGTATAGAGTTCTAACAAGTATGCAAGAAGTTCAAATACTAGAACAGCATGCTTGAAAATGTAGTAATTAACCAGAACCTCATTTTTTTAAAGATCGGTTAATTAAAATTCGATATGTGTACAGTTCTAACAGGTGTGTAATACTAAGTTCAAGTCCTAGAATTTTATACTTGAAAATACAGTATATTATACCCGAAAGGAACTGAAAATGTTTCATAAGATTCTATTTACTGAGAGACATTTAGTGAGTTGAACTTCAGGAAATCAATTGGCATGCCAACAACTTTATAGCTATACATTTATTTACATGCTAATTTGAAAGCTCAGACATGCTTATTAAATGCGAGCTCCAATAACACTTCCTTCAAGGATAATTTATCAAATTGCATGGCTCTAAAGGAGGATAGGTGGTTTAATCCTGAAAGAGCACACAGATCTGCAACTTCCTTACATTTTATTACAAACATAATTATATTTTCATTGTTGAATGCAGGGTTTGTGCTCATTTTAGGAGCAGCTGGCCTTGTCTTTTATGTACTTAGTAAAATTAATTTATTGCTCTCTTACATGTAATCTTTGTGCCATTAAACTCAAGGCAGATATTGAAGAAATACTATATGCTGATGTCCCCTTTGGATAAATTTCACTCATCATGAAGGCAGAAACAGTTTTAGCTAAATTGCTTTTAGTTCTAATAACTGAAATTTTTGATGACTTGTACAGTGTAAGATGTCCGTCATTTTAATATGATACACAATAATAGAAGATAATGAATAAGTTGCTGGTAGACCTATCCCTTAGGATGATGTTACAGGGGCTGTTAATTAGCTACAATATGCAAATACTAAAAGCAATCCCACTTCAAAGTACTCTATTGTTATCCATATATATATAAGTATATATATACACACAGATATGTTTTGTGTGCATATTTTTAAAATACTGGATAGAGGGGCGCCTGGGTGGCTCAGATGGTTAAGCGTCTGCCTTCGGCTCAGGTCATGATCCCAGCGTCCTGGGATCGAGTCCCGCATCGGGCTCCCTGCTCCTTGGGAGCCTGCTTCTCCCTCTGCCTCTCTCTCTCTCTCTCTCTGTCTCTCATGAATAAATAAATAAAAAAAAAATAAAAATAAAAATAAATAAAATCTTGGGGCGCCTGGGTGGCTCAGTTGGTTAAGCGGCTGCTTTCGGCTCAGGTCATGATCCTGGAGTCCCGGGATCGAGTCCCGCGTCGGGCTCCCTGCTCGGCGGGGAGTCTGCTTCTCCCTCTGACCCTCCTCCCTCTCATGCTCTCTGTCTTTCATTCTCTCTCTCTCAAAAAAAAAAAAAAAAAAAAAAAATCTTAAAATACTGGATAGAAACGAATTCTTGTCATAATTCTAAGATGTTAAAAATATAGAATTGATTTGATAATCCTGATGTTACTGATAATATTAATACTAATTATTATGTTACTAATACTAATAATTAATAATATTACCGATAATTATTTCTTTTGCTTAACAAGATTATTTAACATATGCTTATATAGATGTCTGATTAAAAGACAATGAATGCATGATGGCTGACCTTAGGTTTAAGTAAGAAATTTGGTGTGAAGCATCAAATCCTCATTTCAATACTAGGTAGTAGTGCCCTGGGCTATTCTTTGCAGTGGGATTATTTCAATTACTCTAGATCTCAATGAACTATGAAGGGACTCGATTCTGCAAACATTTATTTAGCGAACATAATGTGCTAGGCACGCTAGCCATGGGACTTTTGAGAAAAGTTATGCTATTTTATCTAACTTTCTTCTCTCTCTTCAAACTCCAAGTAGCAGTTCCCTGGAGATCCCCCTCACTTAAAAAAAATTCAGTCTAGTCTTTTTCTTCCTTCTCTGTTGTAACAAATGCATCACATTATTTACCGTGAGATGCGTTCAGGAGGAAAATACCAGAATACTGGGTCAAGGAGTACCTGAGGCCTTGCATTCCTTAGTTTGTCTAGCAGAGTTGCTATAAAGCATTGTGTAGACAGTACATGCATGCTCAAGCTGACACAAAATTGCTTCCTGGGTCGCCTTTGTATCAAGACTATAGGATATTATAGACTGAGGCATATTTAATAATACTATTTATTAATCTTAAAATAAACAGCATAGGGGTGCCTGGGTGGCTCAGTCGTTAAGCATCTGCCTTCGGCTCAGGTCCTGATCCCAGAGTCCTGGGATCAAGCCCCGCATCGGGCTCCCTGCTTGGTGGGAAGCCTGCTTCTCCCTCTCCCACTCCCCCTGCTTGTGTTCCCTCTCTCGCTATCTCTCTGTCAAATAAATAAATAAAATATTTTCATTTGTTCTAGAAGAAATCACCACGGGGCAGTTGAGAAAATTCTATAAGCAAACCTGGAAATTTCTTTTTTTTTTTTTAAAGATTTTATTTATTTATTTGACAGAGAGAAAGAGAGAGAGAGAGAGAGAGTGCCCACACACAAGCAGGGGGAGAGGCAGGCAGAGGGAGAAACAGGCTCCCTGCTGAGCAAGGAGCTCAATGAGGAACTCAATCCCAGGACTGGGATCATGACCTGAGCTGAAGGGAGATGCTTAACAGACTGAGCCACCCAGACACCCCAAACCTGGAAATGTCTAATGAATGATTTGGGAGTACCGTATTTCTTCTGGTTGAGGCTGAAAAAGGTG